GAGGAAGCAGAAGGAAAAAAGAGAAAGAATGTATTCTCTCATATCAAGGACAAGAGGTTAAAACTAGATCCTATTTTAGATATTGGACATTTTTCAGATGACGAAAGCGAAATTCCAACTTCCAATGCCATCAATTCATCTCCAGGTGAGATTAATTCAGATCAACTCATTGAAAATTATTTGCAAGAGAAACGTCAAGCTGCAGACTTTCTATCCAAGAATTTGTCTCTAAATGACTATCTTGAATATACAAAATGCCGAGAATCTAACTTTATTTCAAAAGGAACCAAAAGGTTTAGGCAATGGCTTGAAATCCCTCCAAATGTTAAAATTAATGACAATGCTCTCGAACTTTTGGCTTTGGAGGCCTACGAAACAGTTGGAAAGCTTTGTCAAATAGCTCTTATTTGCCTGATCGATCGTGAGAATCGAATTGTCACTCCATTTGAGGACAGTTTATTTACAGCTGCAGGTCTACTGACTCCAAGAGAACGACGAATGTATTCTCAATTTCCTCAGTTACAAGAAATTAGCTCTTCCACTACAGGAACCCAACAAATCCATCGACCCACTCTTACTGCCTCTCACATTTTGGATGCGATCATCCTTCTTCACCCACCTTCTGTATCAATGTGTCAGTTGCCAAGATTTTGCCTTCGATTCTAAGGTTATCATGTTTCTTCAATGGTTATTCCATTTCATTGCAATCGGTCCATCATTCTTTTTCAATACACTCTCTCATCTTGAGAATCTTCACGTAGAATGAGAGGGTAGAGAGAGAGATGGAATTCGCGAGCGACATTGGCATGCCATCCACGTATAGTAAGTACAATAAAATTATTTTTGGAAATTGTAAAACTGACATGGCGCCAATATTGAAAAATTCGTCTCAACAACAACAACATGAAGAAACAACATCATGCCTACACACTGAAATGTGATGATCAGTACCATCGGTTGGATATCAATATTGTCCTATCCCATAAATTTTTGGAGGAGTTTAAACAATCATGTCTCGGGCATCCGTTAAAGCACGAATTTTGTATTGAAGAGGACAAATTCTTATTATTTATTGAGCATAGAGGAAAGATCAATGATGACGAAGAGAAAAAGAGTACACCATCGGAACTTGTACAAGAGTATAGAGAGGAGAGAAAGAAGAATGCACAAGTGTTTAACAAACCCGATGTAGATGGGACTCTCTTGAAAGAGCGACTAAATAATTTAAAAGAAATGGGATTAAGATATCAAATTTTGTATGCTCAAGTCAACGAAGAAATTGAAAAGATTGTAAGTACTGAATTGACTTGAACAATAGTTTCTAGCTATCTTATAAAAGAAAGAGGAATTGGAGAAGGAAAAAACTGAGGAAGAAAAGCTGTTAAAGCTGAAAAAACAACGAGAAAAGAAAACAACAAACACATCAAAATCTATCAACCGAGCTCAGTCTAGTGCATATGTTGATCCTTCTCTGAAACACACTAGTGTTCGAGTAGATATTACGTTGAGCGGAAAAAACTTTGGTCCCACCACACTTAGGAGTCGTGAAAAATATCTTGTAGAGACGTCACCAGTCATTAAGGTAAGTATGATTTAATGATGGTAACTTTACAACAATTCTGTTAAGAAAATGTTGGAAGATCCCTCTACCAAAATCTCCTCAGATGAAAATGACGAAAAATTCAAACAACTTTCTTTCAGCGAGAATGACAAACAATACAAGGATTTAAAACTATATGATTGTTTTCATCCTGAAACTTTTAAAAAATTCCTTCTATTTGCTGAAAACCCCAATCTAAAACAAAAGTACAATTTAATTTTGGATAAACAGGAGGAAGTGAACGCAGAAAATGAAAATAATATCAACGATGCGGTCAAAAAGTTAATTGAGATTAAGTTAAAACATATGAAAAGATTTGAAGATAATATTAGGAGATATAAAACTGAGCTGGAACAGACCATGGAGAAATGTAAAGAATTTGATATGGAAAAATTACGTTTGCTTTATGAAGTTCATAAGTACAATGAGTTGGACAAAGTAGACAAACTTTTTGAAGCAAGAAAGAATGAAGTTGACCTCTTTTTTGATGAAGAAATCCGAAAAACAAAAGAACTCTTCGCAAAACAACAAACCACTCGAAGAAACCAAATTTCTGGTGATCTAGTGAAATATGAAAAATTATTGAATGAAATATTTCCCAAAGAGACCCTTGTTCCTTTGCTAATTTTGGCTGACCTTCTCCAATCAACAGAATTGAAGAACTCTTGCATCAAAGCCATCACTGAGAATTTCGAAGTCCATTTATACCATGAAGCTCTAGGAGCCAGAATGATGACGGAAATCATGGCAGAAATTCTTGCTCAGCTTCCGGTTCAAAAACTAAAGGACCTGAAAAACAGTTATGGATTTCATTTCCCAAGAGCAATGGTTGAAAAAGAAATTGAATACAGGAAAGGAATGTTGGCAGATGAGTTTAGAGACAAATCTGTGGAGGAATTGATGGAGCTCATGAAAAAAGGTTGTGTTTTTCCTGATGTGTTGGAATCAGAAATTGAAAAGAGAAAAAATAAGAAACCTTATGTCTCTCTTAACACGGAAAAGTGCTCTCCTTTCTTAACTATTGACGAGGATTTTGTAACAGTTCACTTGAAAGGGCAAAAACGATACTCGACTGTACAAGCTACTCATTCCTTAAATTACAAAGGATGGGCCAAATGGTATTTTGAAGTATTGATCGAACAGTTTGATGAATCCTTTGGATCAAGCATTAGTATTGGTTGGGATGTAGATCGATCAAATTGTGACGGACCCATTATTGGATTGACGCCTGGCCATCGAAATCAATTTGGATACAGCTGGCAGTCTGATGGATGTAAGTTTTCAAGTTTAAAAGTAATCACTGTCAAGGTAACCAAAATTTATGCAGTGCTTCATTATTATGGAAAAGGAATGTTTGTTGGAACAAAATTTGGAGCAGGTGATGTGATTGGATGTGGAATGAATCAAACAAAAAAGAAGCTCACATTTTACAAGAATGGAGAAAAAATTATTCTCATCAAAAAAGAATCTAATCGAAGAATTCAAGAAATCAAGTCAATAGCAATACAAGACGAACTCTATGAGCTATTTCCAGCTGCATGCCTTTATTCAACCAAGAAAAACTCTGATTGCACCATTAGATTCAATTTCTGTGGACCATTTGTTAATCAACCAAAACACTATGAGCCCTATGGAGATCAAAGACAAATTTTGAAGCAGCAAAAGCAAATTAAAGAGTTGGAGTGAAAAAAGACCTCAATACACGTGGTCGTTCACATTTGAGTGAAAAATTCTAATCTCCAGTATTGAGCCGAACTTTGCTATTGTAACATTTCCACATCATTCTCTTGACAGACTCTTGAACGAGATCAAAGGGATGGTCGAGCTTTACAGATTGCATCTGAACGTCATTACGATTATTCACATTCGTTATAATATAATTATATCAAAGAATTTAGATGGTACTTACAGCAGTATGTTTAACACATTGAAAATGCACTTTTGATGGATCAGTATTTGGTCTCAATAACGATCCACATTCCGCCCAATATGCCGCTCTTATCTAATTACTCAAAAGTCAATAGTAATGTTGTCAAAGATGATGATGACTCACCTCACTACAACTTCTGTCATGCAAATTTCTTAAATTAAAATTCAGCATTGAACATTTTGGAGAATCATCAATCGCATGAACCAGTTCATGCCGTAACACTTCATTCAAATCCTTTTCTTCCAGTACGTGATTTTTACAAACGATGATACTTCTTTCTTCTTCTTGTTTTTCGTGGTTAAATCTTCTTTGATAGTAGGCTCTGGCATTGTTATCGCACTCGACAATTTGAAGAGAAATCTTTTGTCCACATTCCGAAATTAATGTTCTATAGAACTCTTTTACTTTTTCATCACATTGTATGCTAGTTGTTTTTTCTGTATTATTTTCAATGCAAGCTCGGAAATAGGATTCAATCCAGCATTCGGAGTCCTTGTTGGTGGCATCATCTTGTTTGTTAATGATATGATGAGACATTTTTTTTAACACTACATGGTTCTTCAGAAAGTTTCAACAATATGAGATTAATAATTTAATACATGGAGACATCTCCATCTGAATCGACACCTGAGGTTTGTGCCATGAATGAAACGAGTGATAGCAGTTGCAATAATTCATCTGCTCCATCAATGAGGCATTTGTCACATGATGCAATTTTCAAAAGAATCTTACTCTTTTGAATATCGTCTAATTTCACTTCACACTTATCACTTAGAATATAACTTGCCAATTGGTTGATAATTTGATAAGCAGCATAACCTTGTTTGATCACTTTTTCCACCTCTTTTTTGATTACATTAATATCTTGCTCCTTCGATAATTTGAGAATATTTACAATAAGCTCTTGTGGAACTGTTCCAGAAATTTCCACAATATGTTTTTCAGCAATAGAAAATCCAAACATTCTAGAAGCACTTTGTAAGGTTGTGATCGCTTTTCGCAAATCTCCTTCGCTATGAGAAACAATTCTATCCAAAACAGCTGTATCTTGAAGTGAAATACCTTCCTTGTCAGCAATCATTTGCAATCTTTCTTTCAGTAATGTGTTATCCAATGGTTTAAACCTGAATTTAGCACATCTCGATGTAATGGGATCAATAATTCTGCTCACATAATTGCAGATTAAGATAAACCTTGTGACACTGGAATAGGTCTCCATAGTTCTACGCAATGCAGATTGTGCATCTACAGTCATTGAATCAGCCTCATCTAAAATAATAATTTTAAATGGTGGGCAAGGATATTTGCCTTTCGATGGTGGATTTTCACTCACTGCAGTTTGAGCAAATTGTTTCACTTTTGTTCTAATGACATTAATTCCTCTCTCATCACTCGCGTTTAATTCTAACACTCTACTTTTATATAGTTCAGGTCCAAATAATTGTTTTGCAATTGCAGTTGCTGTACTTGTCTGGAATTATTGATGATAAAATTCTAAATTTTAGAAGAATCACAACAAACCTTTCCGTTACCAGGAGGTCCATAAAATAGTAAATGGGGTAAATTTCCCTCTTGCAAACTATGCTTGAGAGCATTTACAACTTCTTCTTGATGAACGACATCATCCACAGTTTTTGGTCGGCTGTTGGTATTATATTTGATGATATCGTTAAACCAGAAACACATCGGAGGAACAAGATATTAATTGTTGTTGTTGTTGTTAGATATAAAAGTCATGATTATTATTGTTTCCGTACATGACGCCATGTATCATCATCGGAATCAACAATAGAAAGTTCAAAAATTAAAATCATCATCAAACTTACTATTTTTCAGTCCAAAGTTGTTGAGACATTTTTTGGCGGGGAAAATTTTAATGTCGATGCGTGGAAGGAATAACCAGTGAAATCGATCAGCATTTATAATTCTTGATATTGTTAATAATAGTGGATCCACAATATTGGACTTGCATCCTTTTAAATTCATTGTAAGTAGTCAGTTTCTGAAAAAGATCATTTGGGGATCAACAAAACCTCCACTTTGAAACATCATCAGTAAGTCCACTTGAAGTGAACTGGATCAATTAAGAATTTAAAAAATCACGAGCTCGTGACGTCAAGAAGTTGTCAAGTAAAGATGAACAGACTTTCCAAATATGTATTCGAATATTCATCACCAAGTTGGACTTTAAAAAAAATGAAAAGAGGTTTTCTTCAAGTAAACGACTCATCAACGGCCAGCCATGCCTCCACCACCAACGCTACTTGTTTGAATCTTTTGGGTGTTCAAGGTATTCGTGGTGGTAGTGGTGGTGGTAGTGGTGGTATTTATGACTCCGATTTGGAACAAGATAATCTTCAACCATACTTGAAAAAGATCAAAAATCAATCAATGGATGGATCGGAACATAAGATCAAGAAGAATTCAACACCTACAGGTGGACGATCGCCATCGTACGATACATTATATTCTAGGCTTGATTTGGAATTAATCATTCATATCTTGGAATTTGTAACCATCTATATGGAACACTCATACATCTTGCGAGAATTTAATTCGAATCAAATTTCAAACTTATTTGGAGTGAGAAAGACCCATCCACAAAGAATTGTTTTTTTACTCTTTCCGAGCATTGAATTGGAGATTTACGACAATGATTTGTCATACAAGTACTTCTTTCCTTTGAAGTATGTGAAAAATCTTACTTTGGCTGATAGACGTCCTCGCTCGAGTACACATCATTTTCCTCAATCCTGCTTGTATCCTTTTCATGGTATGAAAAATTTAGAATCTCTGGATATTTACAGTCATTTACTTGAAGATGAAGCTCTCAAATGTTTTGCACATACTGAAAATCTGAAATCTCTGCATATAAGAGGAGCATTTTCAATCTCCATGAGTGGATTGAGACTTTTGATGGAACAAAGGCCACAGTTGCAACGTCTGAAACTTGGAAATATTGGAATTGAACATGTGGATGACACTTTCTGTGAGCATTTATCATGTGAGCACAGTGGTATTACTGAATTACAGCTTCCTCAACATGGTGTCAGCAGCACAGGATTGGAGTTATTAATCAGTAATAGTAAATTAAGAATATTAAATTTAATGGAAAATGTAGAAATTGCAGAGACAAATCTATCGGCCCTAGCATGTAATAATAATTTGACGGATTTAACCTTATCATACAACAAACTAGGAGACAATGAAATTACACAAATAGCTCGCTATGGAAGAAATATTAAATTTTTGAGCATCTCCTCATTGCAATCAACCGTGTCTCCTGAGACCATCATGGAACTGTTGCAACAAACAAACTTTATCAGTTTATCCATACGTCATCTCAAACCTGCAATTATTGATTCATCAATATTCAACATTTCCAGTAACTTACAAGCTTTGGATGTGTCACTAACTTGTGGAAATTTCAATACGAGTGGAGATAGTATTGCTGAAGTCATTTCAAAGAATTTTAAGCAGCTCCACTTTCTTTCCATGCGTAGATGTTATTTAACAGATGTTGGATTCATGCACTTGGCAAGACTGAAATCTCTAAGAAACCTGAATGTGAGTTACAATGATTTAACCGATGACAGTATTCGATTTTTTGTTCAAGAAAACACAACGGTAGAGGTTCTACATGTTAACTCAAACAAACAAATTACAAACTATGGATATAGATTGTTGGCATGCCATCCAGCTCTTGTGAGACTGAAACTATCAGGTAAAATCGGTAATGATGCTCTCATTCATATTTTCAGGAATCTCAAAACATGCAAAAGCCTACACATTGATGGATTTAGCAAATTATCAGATCTCCCTTTTGAATATTTACCTCAATCAAGTTTGGAACATTTATCCATCATTGGCTCACCCATTTCATACTACTCAGCAGAGCTAATTGCAAGAGCAGATAATCTCAAAGATTTGTTGTTAGACTTTGCCTCAGAGACAGTAACCATCACGAGTGATCTCTTGAAAATTTTAGCTCGTAGCTCAAGTTTGCATACTTTAAGATTGCCCCAAGAGAATTTTCATTCACTAACAGAGGGTGTGAAGTTTGTTAAATTGTCAGGAAAGCAAATTATTTGGCATTGAGATTCAAAACCGTAAGGATGAGCTTTTCCAAAAGTCACCAAACACATGTTTTAGAGAAATCTACCATTATACTCTTCGATCACTCATCGTAGCAGCTGATGAGGATGAAATAATATCATCTCTCATTTCAGTTGCTGCACTTTTAACTTTTTGTACAATCTTTCCTCCAAGAATTTTGCTCAGTGTGATCACTCGATGCAGTAATGAATGAGGTTTCAATTGCCACATTAAAAATACAGCACACACACGAAAGAGGATACACCAAAAGATCATGGCATACCAATAATAAGCAACAGATTCAGTTTCATATCCATTGATAAATAAAGCAGAATCAATATGTTCTGTTTGTCCTCTCGTTTCAATTTCAACCATATACAAAAGTCCCTTCACAAATCTCAAATAAGTGAAAATATGAAAATATGAAAATGGAAATGGCAGTCGTTCAATCTCAGGAAGAGTTGGTTGATTTCCAGAGACAGCATACAACAAAAGTACGACCAACGTTGCGGCTAATTGAGCAGTATGAGGAGAACAAAAGAATGAAATCATGTATCCTATTGGAAACGAAGTCAAAATAGTCAAGATCGAAGTGAGATAGTAAATTCCAAAGCTTGCTTGAGGACGAGCAATAAATAGACCAGTTGTGAATGCCAAGGAGATGAATATGATCGGTATTAAACTTATCAAATCCTTTGCTGCAAAGAACATCCATGAATTGAGACCTGAGAAAGACTCTCGTTTAAAGTTTTCCATATCATGACCAAATACTCTCAATGCTCTCATAATGGCAACCATTGCAAGTGCCAATTCCACAAAAGTCACAAACGGTGCAATCTTGTCCGAAACAGGAAGCATTGAAAATCCTCTGAGAATTAAAGGACATTGCTTGAAAATTTCCTCACTGACCGATCCTTTAAATTCAAGATTGTTAAAAATGGCTCCAATCAATCCTCCAATTCCAAGGCAAATAAGAATATCGAGCAGTAACAAACGCCAATTTCGAAAAAATTGTCGTAACGAACGATCCACACACGCTGCAAACTGAGCCCAAAAAGGAGCAGTTGAAAAGTCACCAATAGGAGTATCCTGGTATGAGTCGTGAGAGAATTCAGAATTGGAACTAGTGCTGGTATTACTTGTAGTAGCAAATTCCACAACAGGTGTGATTTTCTCTTCTTGTTTTTTCTGAATAGCTCTAAGGATAGGAGTTCCCTTAATAGGTTCAATTAAGGTTCTCAAAATTTCATCTGCTGGATTTAATCGAATCTCATGTGCAGGAATTTTCTCTTTCAGTGTTTCAATGACACAATCCACTGGAGCATGCAGTAGCAATTGCCCATCTGAAAAGAGTATCATGTTGTGAAATTGTTGAAAGACTTCGGCAGAGGGCTGATGAATCACGCAAATAATGGTCAAGTGGTTGTCTTCTGCCAATGATCGAAGAGTGAGAGCAAGACTGAGAGATGTCTCTGAGTCTAATCCAGAGGTCGGTTCATCCACTGTGTGTTGTGTAAGAAAGTGTTTTAATTTAGCAAATGTCGAGTTGAGGTAAAAAATTGTTAAACAAATGTCGAGTTAAAAATTTCACACACAAACTTTGGATTGCCATCACCAAGGTGTTACAACTTACATATGAGTATTGGAGTATCATTGACAATTTCAATGCCAATCGATGTTCTTCTTCTCTCACCTCCACTAATTTCAGAAACCAATGAATGCTGCACATGAAGAAGTCCCAACTTTCCGAGAGTATCAATAATGTGTTGTGGAGAAAATTGTCTGCGTTTTCGATAACGTAAACTAAACTCGAGAGCTTCTCTCACAGTGATATTACTGGCAATAATGTCATCTTGAGGTACAAATCCAATCATTTTAGATGTCTCTCGAGTAATTTCCTTATTGGAAACAAAAACCTTTCCACTCTGCAATCCATGACTCGCTCTTCGACAGAGAGTATTGATAAATGTGGACTTGCCACTACCACTCTTTCCCACAATGGCAGTAAGACGTCCAGGAGTAATATCACCACTAATGGGATGTAATATTTCCTTACCTGTGAAGGAAGTAAAAGCCAAGTCACGAAATGAAATGGTTTCTGCTCTTGGAGAAAGTTTGTTGAGAGAGTCTTCATCATCATTCACTGAACTGCTTGAAATGGAATGCATACGATCGTAGAAATTTCGCACTTGACTCTGTGGTTTTCTTAAATGTTGTGAACAACAACCACAGCACAGACATGTCTCGAGTGGTAAAAATCGTTTTAGCCGTTCAGAGAATGTGCTGATAGTATTCGTCTCTCCTCTAAATAAAGCAGGCATTAAAAATTGTAAAAATGATTTGACATTCAATAAATAAATAGTGTTAAAGATTATCATGAAGAATATGCATAGTATTGTCACGTTAAATTTAAGAAATCCTCGATTGTCTTGATACTCTAACCAATACCAAAAATCAATAGAAATATATTCTTGCTGAGTTATTAATTTTCTAAATACGAGATAAATTTCAAAACTTCCATGGTTGCATGTTTCAGTGTCATTATTGACCATAGAAGTGTTGCTGTTATGAACTTTTGTTGAAAAGAAACGACTCGCAAATGAATTGTCAGATATCATGATGGTACTCCTGTCCAATGGATATTCTCTTAACAGAGACAATGTGGTGTCATTCAAATACAGCAAGTGACTTGGACTTGACAAATTCATATATGCCTCAAACATTTCAAATCGTCTGAAAATTAAAACATCCATCGAAGCATTGGCACTGAATGAAAAAAGCATCATGGATGATTCACAAGGTATTGTAACGTTCACATTCTGAAAATGATTTCTAAAAGGGTCTGGTATCTTAAAGTAATGTTGATCCACATTGGATGGTAATGGTGTGGGTGGCTTGTATTCTAAATCTCTAATCTTTTGTCCATGCGAGACGATGGATTGGGAAATGGAAATTTTGGAAGAAAGGAAATCCACGAAATACCAGGTTGGATACACGAGAAGGAGTGCATTCACGACGAATAGGATGGTATAGATACTAACTCGTAGGACCAAAGAGACGAGCCTTTTGTTGTAATTCCGATGTTGTATCATCATCATCTTGGTGTCATTGCTGGTTCGGACTTTATCTCAACCACAAGATCACAGAACAATTCCGAGTGTTAGCGTATGTATGAATGAATTTAATGCGGTTAGGGCAATTTTTTTAATTTCAATTAAATTTTTTTAAATACATTTAAAATTCAAGTCCTATTATCTTGAGCCTGGTTTCCTTTTTTAAAAATTCTTCTCATCATCATCCTCCTTATAGATGATGAGTCTCGAGTCGACTCCGAAGAAAGATTTTTTTTTCGAGTCTTCATTGAATAAAAAATGCCCGTTTCCTATGCCCCTTCATCGGCCAATCCGTTTGGCAGTGCAGCGGCTTCCTCTTATCTTTACGATGAGTTCATAGAGGCTCCCGATCTTACTCCACAAGAACAACACTTTGAGAATATGAAGAATTTTTTGAGTGAATTTCAATTGTTGTCCTGTAATATGCAAGAAAGTTTTCATGATGAGATGGTTTCTCAATTATTGGAATCCTTTGATCAGACTCAGATAGGTTCGGCTTCGGGTATGCCTGCTGTTGGAAGTATTGGTAGGTATTATTATGTGTGTGATGATACATCAAAATTTTGATGAATGATTTTGTTCTTCTTTCATTACCGATATTTATTGTTGCCATGTCTTGATTCATCATAATAGGAACTTCACAACCTCTCATACGGTTTCGATTTTCTCCCAATGAAAATCTTCGTTTCGATGAATTGTTGCAAATCTCAACAGAGAATCAAATCCTCAGAAAAGTTCTTTTAGTATTCGCTCATCTTTGTGAAGAGATGACTTTTTTATCATCATTTGCAAAACAACACTTTTATCCAACACTTTCATTGTTTGGCGTTACAGTACAGGATCAAGATGAATTAGATGGCGAGAAACAATTACAATTCGGACGAGCTATTCCTCTATTGATGGATTTATGGAACTTTTGTGCACGATCTAATTACGTGGTAAAGTCAACTATTCATCAACTAGCAAGCTTATTTTGCGAAGCCAATACAAACGATAAGAATTTATCGACCTATCTCGGAGGCCCTGGTGGCTCACAAAATCAATGGTGTCATTTTGAAAGAGTTTTCGAGAGTCTTAGTGAGCTTCTTGGTGTTTTGATCACATTAGATGAAGTTATTCTTCAAAACAGCGCCTTCTCTCATCACTTAACACTGTACAAGAGAATGATTAGCAAGGGTATGTATGTCGATGAAAAATTTCACAATCAATGCTCATTTCAATAATACCACATCAAAACAGTCATGACTGAACCTGAGAGATACGGAACAACTAAACAAAATGTCGGAAAAGTGTATTATTTATTAGAAAAAGTAGAAGGAGATGTTTTGGATGATTCAATTTTTAAGTCTTGCATCAACCAAGCTTTTGATGATGTCGTAACATATTCTCAGTTAGTTCAAAATGAAAATGGAGAAACTCAAGAGAAAGTTGAAAATGTCACTATAAATGTGCAGAGAAACAAATTACTAAAAGCAGAAGTAGAATTTCATTTGAAATTACAATTTGAAGAAATAATGAACACGGTGTTTGTACAACCCTCAGCTACTTTCCAAGTGCAATCATCAGGCGCAGCATCTCTTTCTGGGTCAAATAACACTGCTACCTTTTTAGAATCAGTTCTAGAGAAGCGACAGGAATTTGTTGGTTTTTGTGGATTATACATTTTATATTTTAATTTATGGATGGACAACCAAACTCTAAAGAAGCTTTTCAAGCAAGTATGGGAATTCCACAAAAAGTGTCCAATCATCCATTTATACGGTAATACTGTTTGGTCTTCTGCAGAGTTTTTCTTTACCAAAGTACCAGACATGGTTAGGGTGGCAGGCATTAAGAACCCAAAGAAGGAAATTGAAGCGGACAGATCCAAGTACATGGAGAATTTGATGAAATCTTTGTTCCCAACTATGGTTAACCAACTTAATCTCAAGATGAACATTTGGGAAAGTCGATTTGAATCTAACTTTGACGTTTTGGCTTCTTCAGGTAGAGACGTTCTTGCCATTGAAGGATCATTGTTGTTGCAAGGTCTCGAACTTGCGCAACAAATTAATACCCTTGTTAAAAACGGAATTTATTTACATATTTTGGCTGGTAAAAGTTTGACCATGTCTCAAGTTCTCCAATTGTGTGGAATGGTGGAGATGATCAAAAGTATCCAAAATAGTTTTTACAGAAAGTCTCCACAATTGGCAAAACACATCAGCTATATTACCGAGTTCTTAACTTTCAAGATTCAAAACTTCCTTGTGGTCTTGAGAAACAGACTACAAACAAAAAAGAAGCAAAGTAATGCAGATGCCGATCAATTAAGCGCTGTACTTTTGGCTTTACATTTATTGGATTCAGGACATGCCAGCAGAAAGAGACTAGTGTTGCTCAACCTCACACTGGCTGTAGCATTCTCCAGAGCAGCAGGTTTATTCAAAGAATCAGAGTACGAGGAAGTCAAAATATTAATGAAGAGATTGGAAGTGCTAGCACATTTTGACGAATATTTGGACGAGTACTGTGATTGCTCATACCTGTACTGGAATAGACTAGTAATTCCAGCATTCTTTGACAAGGTATACGAAAATCCATCTCGTGCTCCACAACTTCACCTCATGATGTCTGCACTTCAAGATCCATTATACAATGTTCTTCTCTCCTCCAAGGATGGAACAACACCAACAGCTGTTCATTTGGAAGATGCAGGAAAAGCTCTAGTCAACTCTTATATTGACGAAGTGATGACATACTTTAAAACAAAAATTGTAGACCCTCTATGTCAAGAAGTTGAAACAGATCTCAGACTTCACATTCACAATACGAACGTTTTGAAAAAGAAAGTCATTTCTTCTCATACCAAAGACCTGTCGCCATTCTTCAAGACACTTGGTCCCATCAGATTCTACGACAAAATTATTGAAATCAAGAGAATGGTAGAACAATATCTTGACAAGACGTTCTATGATTTTACAATCTTGGCACTTCACGACTGGAAGACTTATGAAGAAATGAGAAACTTGGCATATGAAAAGTATGGATTGAATTTAGTGAATGTGTATCTTCCTGGCCAAACTCTTGAACAAGGACTTGACGTTTTGGAAATTACTCGAAACATTCACATTTTTGTTGCCAAGTTCTCATACAATCTCAATCAAAATATGTTCATTGAACAATGTGCCAAGTCAGATGCGAAAAGTCTCAATGTGCTTCACATCAAACACATTGCAAACTCAATTCGAACTCACGGTACAGGTATTATGAATACCACCATCAACTTTGTATTTAGATTCCTCGGAAAGAAACTTTATATTTTCTCTCAATTCTTGTTTGACGATCATATTAAGAGTAGACTTCTTAAAGATATCAGATTTTATAAGGATGAAGCTCTCAAATCTCTAGATAACAAATTCCCACTGAAGAGTGCTAAAAAGTTCATCAAGGACATTAAGAAATTGGGAGTCAATCCACAAACTGGTTTGTCTTATTTGGATCAATTCCGTGTTCTCATCACTGAAATTGGTAATGCCTTGGGATATGTCAGAATGATACGTGCTGGTGGTCTTCGTTACATCAATGATGCAATTCAATTCGTTCCAATGAATTGCTTCCCAGATGTTGAAGAAAAAGAGAAAACTGAAAACACCACACCAGAAAATGCTGACTCTGCCAATCCACCTACCGATGTGACAAATAACACCACTGAAGAAAAGAAGGAAGACGATGCCAATAATATCAGCGTCTTGTGTAAGGATGTGTTCTCTGAAGAGACCATGAATGCTGCCAACAACTTACACAAAGTCGTTTTGAATATGGCTAAAATTTCACAATCACAACAAAGTGATTATTTCAAAACATTAGAAACTGTGTTCAAGAATGAAATGATGAAAGAACAAAATAACCATCTTAGAAACTTTTACATCATCATTCCTGCTTTGACATTGAGCTTTGTGGAAGCTATGCTAATCTCCAAAGACAAGATGATTCGTTCCGGAAAAGAGGCATCTTTTACTGATGATGGCTTTGCTTTGGGAATTGCATTCATTTTGAAGGTTTTGGGTCAAAATGACAAATTCGATAGTTTGCATTGGTTCGAAAGTGTGGCCATGACTTTTAAACAAGAATATGAAGACACCAAACGAACCATGTCTGAACTTTCTCAAAAGAAGAATGAGGGAGGAAAGAATAAGAAGATTTCAGAGAAGGAACGAGAAAAGATGATGCAAAATGATGATGAGTTGCAAACCATGAACCTTACATTGAACCGAATTTTAAGCTACAAGAGAGAATTTGAATTACTGTTTTTCAGTTTCTCTGGTGCACGTGTATTCTTCAGAGATTAAAGTTACCTTAAGTGTTATTACTAAATTCCAGAATTAATCCTATCGTTGACAATCTTTCTAGTAGCAATTTGTCAGAAGAAGGAATCAACAAACAAAATAAAAAAATATTATTATGAGTTCTACTTCTTTTTCTCATCTTTAGCTTCAGCAGGTAAAAGTTTGAAGTTTTGCAATTTCTCAACAACGCTGGCAATTCGCTTTTTCAGGCGGCTGCTGTCAGCAGGCATCTCAAGTTCAGTCTGAAGGTTTTTTTCCTTTGGATTTTTGGTAAGCACAGTATTCAATAATTGTGTTAATCCAAAATCAAGTGTTTCCTCCCATCCAGGGGATTCGTCGTTAACAAAAGAGGGCCAATGGTTCTCCAAAACTTCCATCTCTTTGTCATCCAATGAATATCTGAGTTTAACAAGAATATGCATCAGTAATGTCGAGCAAGTAAGGTCATGAGAAGCTTCTTTTAAGGATTGTTGAGTTTTCTCAATTTTTTTTGTGATCCCTAAAATTTCTTGGTAGGTCTTATCAAAAAGAATGTCCAAGCTGTTGATGGATGTTGGATTCTTGTCTTTGTATCGTACCAATAATCTCTTTTGTAAAGCTCTAAACTGAGCTGCCAGTTTGTCTAATTGTTGATAATAAATTTGGAGTCCCAATCTGTTTTTGAAGTGTGAGTCAATTACGTCAAAGTAAGGGTAAAATGGCATGTTCTCAGTAAATTCAATTTTCATTTGTTGCTTGTCCTCCATATGAAGAGCGGCTGCACATTGCTTTAGCCTTCTTATTGTTTCTTTGACTAAAATATACATAGCATCTAATGACGACGATTGAACTCTGTACCTTCCAGCATTCTTTGAAACAAGGATTGTTGCATCTTTTCCGTTCGAATATTGGAATGTTAAAATATTCTCGCTTATTAAGTTTGACATTTCATCTTTTTGTATTAAGTCTTCAAATAATGATGCGATGGGTATTGGGGATTTGTTTGTATCAAGAGTAATCTTATGTGTTGAATTTTTCTTTGCTGGAACTACGTCTCCACAAAGCCCAAAAGGAAGAAGAAAATGGCAATTTGAAATTTTTGGTTGGCCTGTTACAGGATCGTGATAAATAGCTGTCACACTTGCTTCCAAACTCTTTGGAGTGCAGTCACTTCCTCCAAAAACGGTTACAGGTAAAACAAATGGGGTACTCTGATTTCCTCCATCTGTTTCCAAAGTTAGAAAATTGAAAAATTCAAACAAAAACTTACTCAGCGTGGTAATGTAAGTGGTGGGTGAAATTACATAAAATGGCTTTTCGACATGGAAATTCACAGTTATGTTTTCAAGAACACAGTTGTTGCCTGTATACCCAATGTATAATTGAATGGTTACTCGTTTGTTCTCATTGCTTGTGTTAAATGACTCAGGATCAACGGCATTGGGAATTTGAGCTCGAATTACAAGTGCTTCAGACGATTCGTCTTTTTGATTTCGTTTTGTACGTCGAATTATTTGTTGTAGTCTTTTAGTTTCTTCTTCAAGTCGTTCATAGTCTACATCCTTATTTTCAAGAGTTGGAACTGTATTGGAGATGGCACCTGTTCCCAAATAATTTAATGCTAAATTTCCTTCTTCGTCTAGCGTCACAATAGCTCCTTTAACTCCTCCTATGTTAGCCACTCTGATGGCCACAGGAATTGATGTCATTCCAGCAGCCCAAGCTAATTTAGGGTCGGAATAAATCATGACAGTTTTGTTGTGAGTTCCTATGATTAAATTGCTCCTATCATCTGAATTCAAGAACTCGAATCTGATTGTTCATAATTTTCAAATACTTACTCTGATCGGTTCCTGATTTATAGAGCTCAACTGCACTTGGAAAATAATCAAACCTCATTTGAGATGCTAGCTCACCATTTTCCTTAATACTAAATAGCGTTCTTTCTCCCACAGCAAGTATTTCACTTTGTCCTGCTGATAAATACTGGCTATATCTGCCAACAACAATGTCATAAACTTCCTCTCCAACATTCACAGTCCAGGTTGCTTTTACTTTCTTTCCGTTTGAGTTTTCTTTTTGGGTTGACCCTGAAGAAGCTGCCAACATTTGATATTTGTATGCTTCCACTTCCATTGAAGAATTGAAAGTGATAAAACTATCCATTGATCTGCTATATATCAACGGGCCAGGTATTAAACTAGTCGAGAGAAATCTTTGAAAAGTAAAATGATCTTGTTCGAAGAACGAGAGCTGGCCATCAAATGACTGAATGCAAATGTAGTCTTTGCCATAAGCCCCGCCAAAAGGTCCGTAGCAAAAATTGTATGATAATCGTTGCAAGGTATGCTCATAATAAAGTTGAAGTGCATACCCTTCCATTGCATTACTGTCTTGTTGTTCCGATGAATAATCCGATGTTTGTTTAACAATTGTATACACTGCAAACTTTTTTGGCATCAATACCCCCAAAGCATTGTCTCTCGAGTTACTGGGAGCAAATTTCAGTTCAGGGCGTGACCAAATCCACAGTCTACTTACGGAATAAATTTCCCAATCTCTAACTGCAAGATGGGAGCCTCCAACTGTTTTTCTAACAATAAATCTGTTGGATAATAATTATTCTTCTGAGGTTTGTATATTCTCAACATTCCCGACAAACTTCCAACCACAATCTTGTCCAAACAACAAGACCCCGAATCACCTCTCTCATTATCCACATTTCCAATACATAATGATCCCTTTTCAAACTCTTCAGAGTCACCACATTTTGTGCTCCACGATTCCCGAAGTCTGAACAAGGACATGGCAACGTTCTGTTCCTTGCGATACTTGTTGTAATATTTTTTTTAAAATGTATACTTGTTGTAAGTCTTGGGCGGGATAAAGTAGTCTCATCTCAATTTATACCATTGAGGATATCATCTAAATAGATATGGATTTTGGGATGGGATTGGGACTGATAGAACGTTCAATACTAGTCTCTGGAGCAATCCAATCCAATACAGTGACTTTATTAAACTTTCGTAAGTATTCTTCATGAAGGTTTGAATATCTCTCAAGATTAGGTCTGCCAATCAATCGGATGACGTTGACAATCACCCTGAAAACCCAGAGAAAGGAAGTAATTCAGACCATGTCACCGTATTTCAATCTGCGATCCTGGTTCATTAAAATTACCTCATTGAAGAACATGACAATATATAAAATATATTCAATAAATTTACTTATACAAAAAGTTCAACAACAACTCACAATGGAGGAATTTCAAATGGTCCTTTTGAAAATATTAATGAGTCTCAGTCTCAGTCGTTTGTTGTGCACCACCAGTACCACCAGTACCTTGAGAAGCATTATTCTGAGCTGCTTGTTTTTCCATATTGGCAGCCTCTTGAGCCAACTCTTCGAATTGATGTGGTTCAAAGAATCTCACATAGGTCGTACGAATGAGTGGATATGGAAGTAAATCTTCAAAGAAGGAAATATCCAAATGTTTGGAAGTCTTCAAAGTTCGATCCAAGAAGATACAACAATTGTCGTATTGCTTTTCATAGCCTTTGGTACCATTCATGTGCAAGAGAATCATGGCAGCAAATTCTGCAAATCTCTTATAGTCCTTTTCAAGATCCACAATCTTGTTGGATTTAATGGAATGAACTGCTTGCATCAATCGATGGAAAGCAGTAATGGAGAGATGAGTATTGTTGTACCAACCTTCAAGATTCACATCATAGACACTATCCTTTTCTCTCCAACACTTCTCAAGAAGTACAAGAGCTGCAAAAGCAATGGGCAACACCTCCCACACTTGAGATCGATCCACAAGAGGCGATAACTTGAGTCTCAGAGAGTGATCGACCTCTGCAAAACCACAATCAGTGGCGAGTGCATCAATCGGTAAGAATTTGGCATCTCCATAAAAGTTTCTTGGATATTGTTCAAAGGCACTGTCGACCACATCGTAAATGGCAGGAGCATTTCTTCTCACACTCGATTGCAATGCTTGTTGAAGGCCTCTTCTAAATTCCAAGATACCTCCCAATTGAATTAAAAGACCTAACAAGGGTTCCAGTGTTTGAAGAGATTGACGAACCTTCTTATCGAGAAGAAACTTTTCATCGTACAATTTGTTTTCAATCTCACGGAGAGCATTGTTGCTTTGTGAGAGTACTTCTCGAACCCTCTCACTGATCGTGTAGACATTATCCAACAGTGATTGATTAAATGCTCGGAATCCGTATGGACCAGTCAATGTAATGAGAGCCTTCAATTCATTGTAATCCAAATATTGTTCCACATTGTAGGTCTGAATGGGTGTTTCCTTGGTGGAAACAAAGGTTTGTCGATTGGGATGATAGAGTGTCTTGTATTTCTGAGGATCTGAAACAATTTCAGTGTACCATTGAGCATACATGGAAATTAAATTGGTAGGTTCTGTGGTTTGAACGACACCGAAGGGAGACTCGACATAATTCAAGTGAACAAAATGTTCCAAAATGGCATTCAATACAATTTCTTCTGTGTTGAGACTGCAGCATTGTTCAATAATCTTCAAAGAGGACATGAATGAATGCAATTCACTGAGTAATTCAGTGGGAGTGATGAATTTCGCTTGGAGAGAGTCGTTCTTCATTTCCTTCGCTGTTAAATCGATGGTGGTTGCAATTCTCTTGATATATTCGGAAATGTATTCTTCGAGAACAGTTCTCAAATATTCGACTGGATAGAAAGCAGTATCGTAGACAACAATTTCATCATATCTTGATAAAGAATATAAGAGTTGAGTGACATTACGTTCCAAATCACGCATGTCGTTGATGGAATTGTTATCAAAGTTACTCTCAACACCAGGAACTGGAGGCTCTTCAATGTATTGCTTGTTCTTACCATATCTACGAAGAATGATTTGAGCGGCAACATCACCACCAATTTGATGAGTTAACATTCTGTATCCGTGTGAACTATTTAACAAATCAAGACCTTTCTTGATTCTGTCGACCAATTGTCCGAGCATGCTTTCAGCCATTTGTACCGACTGTTGTCCAATCTTATTTCTGAGAGAAGGATTGAGTTGTGGGTGAATATTATCAGCATAAGTATTTAAAATTCTGATAAATGCAGTCGAGTACAATGGTTGTGACTTGGAACCAATGAGACCATCTGAGAAGATCTTATCGACATCTTCCTTATAAAAGTACAATTGTTTCAATGATCCCTTTTCAACAAGTTCATCGTATAAACCATCCACATGTTTAGAAAATACGACAATCTTTGTCATGGTTGCGAACAACATGGTTAATTCGGGGAGAGATTGTTTGAATTGAAAACTGGACAAGAATGCTTCAACTCTCTTCCAATTCAAACGCAAAGCTTCAAAATCCTCAGTGTTTTGAATGTCATTCAAAATGGAATCTATAATGTGACTCACTTTGGCAAGATCCAAAACACCTCTGCATTGCTCAATAAGGCCTCTCAACTTGGTATAATATAATCCTCGAATAATTTTGAGCGAATACTTTCTAATCACTTCTCTGTGTTGCACACAAACGTACAACATTTCATCCATAAGATAAATCATTTCACTAATAAGTGTTTCTTTCACTTCTTTGACCTTCTTTTGGTTTGGTAATTTGGAAATGTAATTATTGTGATGGAAATACCACATGATTTCACTTCGAGCCATTGAAATGGCAGCCAAAACCAAATTGAATTTTGGACCTAACAAACCAGGTTGATCTTTCATCATGTTTAACAAACTCTTCAATTGCAATCTGAGATAGTTACGTAATTCCTTGTGATAATCTTGACACTTTTCAATTGCCATTTCTTGAAGTGCCTTCAATGTCTTGGCTTCCTTTTTCAAATCTCCAAACTTTTTAATCATGACATATTCTTTGAAGGCATCATGGAAGTTATAAACTTCATCTCCATAGAGTGGAATGACCAAATGGTTTGCCAACACTCTTTGCAAGAGAATTTCATAGCAACGAATAGGAACTTCCTTATTCTTTTTAGCACTTGTGACAAGTGGAGTCATTTTGATTGGTTTGTCTGGAGTCTTTGTGAGAGCATGTGGACAACAGGAATAAATAATTGCAATCCATTCAATGATATCTTGATAACAGCTCAAATGTTGATAAGTTTCATCAACAGCTGGGAAAGGAATTCGATCTGGTTCTGACAACATTTCGAGAGGTCTCTTAATATTTAAAGAGCTAAATGTACCTCTATCGAATGCAGGAATTAAACCCATGAGAGCTCTTCCAACTTGATCTTGAATTCCATTCCATTCTTCTTGCAACTTTGGAATTGGATCTTCGAAATCTTTAAAGAATTTCCAAACACGGTTAATATTTGGTTCTGGCGTTCCGTTCAATTTCAAATAACTCAAATTCAACAAACAAACAATCAACTCCTTGTCCTTGATTCTATTCATCATTAACACTAATTTCACATATCCGACCAACACTTGCAAATAGTCATAACACGTCAGAAAATTCACATCTTGAACAAAATCAATATTGGCATTTGTGGAAATTTCGTTAATGGTTTGTTGTGCGTGGTCAGCCCATTGATTCAATTCACGGAATGTTAAATAAATTGGATGAACCTGATTGAAGAGTTGTGTCATGTTATTGAGAACCCAATCGAATCCTTGAACCTTTTCCAACTCATCAATGGCAATATGTGGAGCATCTTTGGCAAGTTTAGCAAACAGTCTTTTCATGTCCACATTGAGTGTGGGCTTCATAACGTCTGGCCTCAGATTTGGATCGCTGAGATCATTCTTGATCGTATAGAGACGTTGGAGAAGAGCATCTGAGTGTTGTCTCAGAACATAGAGCTGTGATGGAGTGAATGTGAATGAGAAATATGAATTAGTAGTGTTAGTATTTAAAGAAGCAGAAGGATAGCAGAAAAACAAAAGATTCGGGTGGTGAGAGACAGGTGAATTAAATGTTCCAAATGGGTCCATAATTCATCGATGAGAAGAAGATTTTGTTGTCGTGATGGTGTTGTTTTCCAAAGAGTCATCATCACAGAAAAACAAATGGAAATTGTTTGAAATGTCATTCGTAATAAATGGAATGGCGTGATGAGGGTTGAAATCATATGGTACAATATATTGATTGTCATTGATTGTCGTGATTGATTCAAATTAATACATTTTGCGAAAGGATCATCATCATGGTCGTCATCAAACGTTTGTCTCTTCCTTTGACTTACCTTTTCGGCTATTTTTGACATGACTAGTACTCAGAGGGAGTAAATGTAGTGGGTGTTTGATGATTCGTGTGTCTGATGATGGTGGTATGAAGTGAAATCAAGCAGAGAGTCTTCTCTCACGAAAAACCAATCACTTATTTTTTAAATGAAGAAAAGTGACAGCTGACTGAACTGATGGACGAAAATTGTTGGAACTTTTCAGAAAAACCCTAGATGGATCATGCACATCCCGGTCTAGTCAAAGCTTTACAATCAAACTCCTTTCTTTATTGTTGTGGTTATCGAAATAATTAACAGAGAAAATTGAACAAGCTCTTTCTATTTTCCAAACCAACAACCAGCGCGTGATCCATTTCGTGTTGAGGTGTTGTGGTGTTGTGGAAAACAAAATATTAAACACAAGAATCCAAACCACCAACCAAAAATCACCCCAACACAACAACAACAACAGCAACAACGCAAGAGAAAAGACCTTTCCCAAAAATGAGCCTTCCTTCATCATCGGCTCATACCAAGAACCATTACCACCACCACCACCACCACCATTACCACAGAAACAACAACAACAATTTCGACATACAATATGTTGAACACTCCACCTCCTCATCACAGCAACAACAACAACCTCAGAGAAGAGGAAGTAGTAATAATTTTAATAGTTCTGCTGCTAGTAGTAGTGGTAGCACTACTGAAGGACGAAGAAATTGTCCAAATTCATTGAATCACAAACCAGCATCGGCAACAGCACGGAACAGCGATAGTAATAACGGAACAGTGAGCAATGATGAACATCAGACTGATCTTATCTCGAATCAGGAAGCTACTAGTGGATTTTATAAGAATAGACTAAATTCAGCAGAAACTACAAATGTAAATCATCAACAAAATGTAGAAGGAGCAAGAAGAAGATTCAATAATAACTCGACAATGTACAAAAAGACTACATCTAATTCTAGGAGCACAGAAAGTAAAATTTATAATGAGGACGAACAACAAGAAAATGCTAATAACACCATGAAACAACAAGACGATGAATTACACCAACAAACAATCGGGACAAGATATAGAGGCAAGAATAATGACAAACGGAACAATTATAAACGTTTTTCAAATTTCAGGTCACATGAAACTGGTGCCACTTCTAATCAATTACAACAAACTCATCACCAAAATGAAAATGTTCATCACTCTAGAAACTCTAATAACAGAAATAGAAAAGGCCAAAACACTGCTGACAATGAAAACGCTCAACAAAACGACTCTAGGCAAAATTTTAGAATTTACCAAAGTAAGAACGCTAAACAATCTGCAACACCACCTTCCTCACACTCGATTCAAAACCAAATCGCTGAACAAAGTGAAACTAAGAACATCCCAAAAGCAAAATCTAGTGGTTTCTCTATATCGTCTGCCGCCTTTTATCCTTCCTCGATGACTTCTTCGCCACCTTCTGCTAATAGCAGTATATATCATCCAGGCCAATACAATAATTTTCAAGGATATGCCTATCCATCTGTACAACAACTTGGAGGTTGTGTTTACTATTATCCTCAAAACAATACCTATTATCAATCCAATCCCTATAACTCGTCTGTGTTTTACCAATCTCAAGAACCTGAGAGTCCAAAAATGTTTAAGGTTCCTAACCGAGCAAACTCTAAACTATCGACATCAACAAGCACTACAAAGCAGAAGAAAGGTCGTAAAAAAGAACCAGTTGAACAAGAGTCATCAAGTGAAGAAGATGAGGATGAAACAGAATCAATTTCATCTGCAAATCAAATTCAAATGAATTTTGATGAGGATGACTATATTGTTGGTTTTGCATCATTCAATGGATCTCTGTATTTTTGTTGGCAACAAGCATCAAAGGAATCAGAGTCTCAATCCAAGATAAGAGAAATACTTACTCAAAGCTCAAAGTATAGCAACAAAAGCTCTGAAACACTCTTTTCCACATGCATAAAGAATAAGGCTATTTATGCTGCGTTAAAGAAGTTTGTTAAGAAGTTGATTAAGCAAAACCAGCCATACAATCCATACCTTATTAACTCTCATGCATCTATATTGATGAAATCATTTTTACTTTCTTCAAACACATGGTTGGAGTTTTCTGCCAATCTTCCTGCCATTTCTAACAAATTTGCCAAGCTCAAAGCTAGAGAGGTTAAATATTTGTTATCAGAATACTCAACTGAATGGAATTACTTCCAGGATATCGACTTGTCCAAAGAGGACGTGCTCGACAGATTTATCAAAGGAGATGAAGAGTCTACTGTTTCGTCCTTTGTTGAACGTATGAAAAAGAACGAGTTTTCAAAATTCAAAAGAAGATCTCACCTTCTTGTTTGCTCTTGGGTATGCAAATGTCCTAATGGGATGCAAGAAGTTTTTATTGAACTCATACGAACTCTTAAATCTGTTCACAACACATTAGGTTTTGTAAGAAAACGGTTGAATGAAATATTTGAAATTGAGAGAAATGAAGCAAAGCCACCTAAAATGACTATATGTGAATTAGTCGCTAAAATTGATAACATTCCTGACTTGACACCTTTTAAACAAAAAAGCCTGAATCTTCTATATTCGCAGAGAAGCGATCGGCTGGATCGAATTTCAGTGACACCTTTGTTAAAGAAATTGCTGTTATTTTATGCTTGAACATTTTCCAAGATCTGAAATATAAGTATGATTTTTCTCACAAGAAGCAGAAGGGAGCAGCAAACGATTTCAAAAAGCTTTATTCTATTGTGGACGTTGAGACTCAAAAACAAAAAACAAGCTTTAATGCCAAAATTCAAGCAGCGTATAGAGATCAAAACGAAGCATCAATACTTACTCCAGAAGAAAAAGATAAATTAATAGAACAACTCATACAGTTTATTACGTACGACAAGGAGTATAGATGCTACCAAAGATACTTTGATTTACTTAAAACGGAGGAGGATGAAATTAACAAGCCCTTCGGATGGTTTCAATATCCATATCAACTTAAGGCTGTAAAGTGGTTAAAAAGATTGGGTGCTCAAATTGACTGGGTACAGATTTATCTCAACAGGATTTACGCATCTCCCAACTTTGATCCAGACATTATAAAGCAGATTGACAAAGAATTTGAGATATCTGCGAACTATACACTTGAGGCCAAAGACAATCGACTCTCGTTTCTAGATCATTACGATCGAACATTTACTATTGACAAAAAAGGAACAAAAGATTGCGATGATGCGCTTACCATTTTATACCATGACCAAAATTGCATTCACATTGCAGTCCACATTACGGACATTGCCTCAACCATTCTAAGAAACGTCGATCTTTCGCAAGCTGCATCACCAGTCGATGAATCCAAGAAAGAAGTTAAACGAACTCCTCCAGTTAAGACTAAGTTTGCTGATCATCCCATATTCCAAAAAGTTCCTTTATTTTCAGAGGCCTCGAAGCGTGTCATGTCTATTTACATACCAGGAGTAGAAGAAACCTATGCTCCTTGCTTTCCACGTCACCTCTCTGAAGAAGCTCTGTCGCTAATTGATAAGAAGCCTAAGGAGGTTATTTCACATATTTTTGTTATTTTTAAAGATGGAAGAGTAGAGTTTAAAGGAGTATTCAAGGGATTGATACAAGTTAGTCAGTCTTATTCCTTTGAAGAAGCGGACGAGAAAATCGATTCCCCTCAGGCAGATCCTTTTGGAAACAGTTATATGATTGTTGCTGTGCTATTCATGATTCTCGTTTGGAACACGGTGCCAAAAAATTTACGCCAGGTGTTGTTCCTCTCGGAGGAATTGACCTTGTTCTTGAAGACAATAAGAATGGTGATGATCCAATAATTCATGTCAATACTCAACGAACAACTCCTTCCAAATCTTCAAAAATTATTACTGAATTTAGTATTTTGCTTAACGCTACCATGGCAAGGTACTTTTATGACAATAGAATAGCTGGTCTCTACAAAGAATTTTATCAAACATATAACAGATTGCTTCCAGAATCTATAAAGGATATGGACATTGAGGAGTTTATTGAAGTTGCATCAATATTAGACCCTGAAGGTAATGAAACTAATTATCTTGCGCAAGGAAAGAATCACCAAACTGAGAACTATCAAGCTTTATTGAGGTTTGAGAATGAACTAAAGCAACAGGGAAGTAAGAAGACAACAAACATTAGCAAAATAACGACAAATCCAACAAAGTTTTACCAAAACATCATTGGTGTTGAACTGTACATGCAACTTTCTTCTCCATTGAGGAGATGGCTTGATTTAGTTTTACAAGTTCAACTAGTTCATTATTTAAATACAATTGAGTCCGGAGCAACTTGGACAGGAATTGAAAACAGTCTGTTCAGCGAGGAAGTTTTACATTATTGGAGTGAAAAAAGTTTCAGATAAGATTGAAACAGTGAAAGAAATGGAAAAACAAGTGCTCTATCACTACTTCCTTAAATTTTTAAAGAACAAGATGGAATCTTGTGATAGTGAGCACTTTATTTTGGAATGCGTTTCTGAAATTAATTTCAGAAAAGGAAAAAGATTATCTCACTCACATCGTGACAAGTCGGGTGTGCATAGAGATTACAATAACT